ACTGTGTGGAGGACTGACAGGTTAGAGTGAAAGTTCTTTGAGTGAATGAATAAATGAGTGAATGAGTAGGAAGGACTGGATGACACAGTGTTTGACATGATTTCCTGCTCTCAAATTCTATGATTCTATGCATGGAAGAAGTAAAGCAAGAACTAACAAAGCTTCATAGCTAAATAAAAATCTCATGAAAGTTATTTCAGTAATAAAACAGCAACTGAAGGAAGAATCAGTATTTTGCTTTTAAAAAACCAAATCCTGACCATCTTGGCAGGAGAAAATCTCCAGCTAAGATTCATCTACAATTATTATTATTTTTTTAAATGGTGAAAGCTGTTTTCACATTGTGTTTTGCTGGGCTAGCTCATTGTTTTTACTTGATGGGCACTGTAAACATCCCTGAAGAGTATAGATAACATTTTCATAGTCCAATTTTAGCAGTAGTTTACTGAACACTCCTAAGATGTCACATAACTAATCTGCTATCAGCTTTATACTTTCCAAACCTGGCTGAGCTACACATCGTGATAAATTTTTGGTCCAAATGGAAGAATTGTTCCACATTATGAGATGCCAGCCTTGAGTATCAGAGCCCCATTGATCTGTGTCTATATTAGTCAGCCCATTAGTTCCATCATGGTTTTGCTTCACTCAAAGCTGGTTGGACAAGAAATAAAGCAGCATTGTCAGTGATTATAAGGATTATAAGAGTTTGTAAACAACCTGGGGAGCTGTCAGACCTGCAGATACCAGGACTGCCTGATGCCCTGCACGCCCTTCCTCTGAAAGCTGTGCTGTACTCACCTGGGATCTCATGGGCTAGCACAGGGCACATCTCTTCTTCTCTGATCTTCTCTCCAGCCTCTAGTCCTCAATGCAGACTCTACTCTTCCTCCCAATTTAGGGGAACAAAGCCAAGTTTTATCAGCCATGGGGGACTCAGAAATAAATTAGTTTCTTTCCTTGGTGCACAGGAGATTAAACTCTGATGAAGAAAGACAGGTAGACTCCAGTGTGATTACAGCCCAGTATACAGTGGAAATGTGAAGAGTTGTGGAAAACCAAAGCTCCTAACTCAGCTGTGGTGGGTGCACATTTAGGGGAAAGTGCAGATTGCGCAGATAATGAGGTTGCAGAGTCCTTCCTGGCAGCCTGCCCACCACCCAGCCTCATCGTATGTCTTCACTATAACTATCCCTTCCTCTGTTATAGTGAAGACATACGATGAGGCTGGGTGGTGGGCAGGCTGCCAGGAAGGACTCTGCAACCTCATGCAGGTGAGAAATTCCATGTATTAACCAGTGGATGATTTTGCCCATAAAACCCAATTAAATATCCACCATCACGTAAAAGATAAAGTAGGAAAGGGAAAGGTAGCTTGGGCAAGGAGACCAGCTGTGAGGCTTTTTCTGTTTTTCTTTGTAATGCCATAATGCTTTGTCCATTTTTGTGCATGATAAGCATTAGCTGACTGAGAGAAACAATATTCCCCTCTTAAATTTCCTATGAGACTCTCCTATACTTCAAGCCCTTGGAAGTTGTGGCTGTTTATCGTGGTTGTTTACCAACATCCAGCTCTGTGCCTCTTTAATGAACACTCAGAACATGATGAGTAAATGCATGAACTAAACATGAATACCTTCACCCTCAGCTAATAAGGCAATAGGAAGCTGACAGAGTACAACCCTGGGCCTCTGTTAGTCACCCACTCTCCCTCTCAACTGGGATCATAGTGCAGCAACAGGGAAATGGAGCATAGGGGTCTCGAGAAACTTTCAGATTAGAAAGTTTGCTCCCTATACTTGTGGGACATATGCAGATATTTGCTCCTTTTGGGGGCAGGGGAAGGGGATGTAAAGGAATTCTTAACTTTCTCTTTTCTGTGTTCTCCCAAACAAACTTGTGGTATTCCTCATTTCCTGTTCAAAGTCCCTTTGTTGAGGATATCTCCTGATTGATCATCTGTCTCATCCCTGTTGGATTTACCTACTCTCGGATTTTCACATCTTTACTTCAATGTGGACATCTTTTCTTTGCATTCAAATTTATTCACAAACTTCAGTTTGCAGATGTAGCAAGCATCAGAAAATGTTGTTAGGTTTCTCTTTTTTTTTTTTTTTTTTCAGTATTGTTATTATGACATCAATACTTGGAGAGTTTATTCCTGGATAAAGAAAACTGTTCTAGACAGTCTCCATGTTGATGACCCATATCCTATATAGAGAAGTGCAAAACTTTAAAGTGGGGCAGTTTTCTCTAAGATGTGAAGATAATTGCACTGAAGGCACCTTGAAGATGAAAAGAGCTCTGATATCAAGGCCTCTGGGCCCAGTTGTCAGCTTTAGCAGTCACCACATGCTGTTTCCTCCTCTGCAACATGGTGGCCATGTTGTTTCCCACAAAGTGTTGTGCAGGATGGAGTAGAACCACTCTGAAAGCAGAATACAAAAGTAAATTTATGGCATTGTCTTTGAAGGCTTTTAAAATAAACATTTTTTTAAAGATTTTATTTATTCATTTGAGATGAGAGAGAAAACACAAACAAGAGACAGGCAGAGGGAGAGGGAGAAGTAGACTCCCCACTTAGCCAGAAGCCTGACTGTGGGGCTTGATTCCAGGACCCAGAGATTATGACCTGAGCTGAAGGCAGGTCCTGAACCATCTGAGCCACTCAGGCACCCCAAAGTGAATTTATTTCTAAAAAATTAAAAAAAAAATGAACTTATTTCTGAAAATAATGATGTACTATATATTGGCTAATTGAATTTGAATAAAGAAAAAGAAAATGACCATTGGGAAAAGAAAAAAAAAAAAACAAACCAAAAATGAAGTCATTTCTAAAAAGAAGGCTATCTCAGGAGTCACAAATTCAAGTGAAAAAATCAGAAATTAACTAGTTTGTAATATCTTCCGGCTATTTAGCTAACCCAAATATTGAATAGTGAAAATGTCTTTTAACTATAGCTGTAGAATGTAGTGACAATTTCAGATACTGTAGTTCAAACTTGGCGAACATTCTGCCTTTTATGTACCTGGGATGATATGCTCCCGGTCTGTCCCTCAGGCTGGGCACACATGGATAAAGCAGAAGCCCCCAACATTCACCTTCTTGGAGCCGTACCTTTAGAGGTTGGGGTTGCAAAGTTCTGCCAATTAAAGAACCCTTACTTCCACCCACCTCTAATAGCACATCCTCCAGACCCTGAATGAGCTCTGCCAAGGATGGGAGAATATTTACTTTAGAATGTAAATTTTGCATATTTCTTAGGGAAATTTGCTCTTAATATTGAAATTTACAAGAAGAAAACATACACAAGGGAAAACGAGTATTAAAGGTATAGCATTCAGAGACCCTAGCAAAATACATATTCCAAGAAATTGATGCAAATTATAAGGAATCCATTTTCCACACATTTTACATAGAGATTTAAATTTTTAATTTATATTTCAATATACATGTAGTAAAATTCAGTCTTATGGTGTAGAGTTCCATGAATTTTTAGGAATCTGTTGTTTCATATCTAGCACCATGATCAAGAAACAAATCAATTCTATTACCTAGGAAAAAAAATTCCTTTATGCTGATCCTTTATAGATAACCCCTTCCCTCACCCGTGACTGCTGACAACCACTGATTTAATTGCCATCCTATAGTTTTGCCTTTACCAAGATGTCATAAAAGTGGAATAATGGGGATGGCTACACATAAGTGGGAGCAAGAGGTAGTTGGGAAATCTCTGTACCTTGTTAAAGTCTTTTGGGTCTGCTTCTTTCATTTACCAAAATGCATTTGAGATTCATCTATGCTGTTGCATATATCAGGAGTTTGTTTCTTTATATTTCTGTGGATTATTCCATTGATGAGTGATCAGCGGTTTATTTACCAGTTGAAAGTCATTTTTACTTTTTCAATTTTAGATAAATATGAATAGAGCTATTCTGAGCACTCATGTACATGTTTTCATGTGAACATAAATTTTCTATTGAACATGCCTGGGAATAGGTTACATGCAATTTGAGGGTCTAGTGACAAAGACTCTGTATCTCAATTCAGTTTCTTTTTTTTTTTAAGATTTTATTTATTTATTTGACAGACAGAGATCACAAGCAGACAGAGATGCAGGCAGAGAGAGAGGGGGAAGCAGGCTCCCTGCTGAACAGAGAGCCCGATGTGGGGCTCAATCCCAGGACCCTGGGATCATGACCTGAGCCAAAGACAGAGGCTTTAACCCACTGAGCCACCCAGGTGACCCTCAATTCAGTTTTTAAAAAATGAGAATAATTGAGGTATAATTTCATGCAATAAACTTGGCCCTTTTTAGATGTTTAGTTCAATGGGTTTAGACAAATATATATAGTCGTGTAACCACCATCTCAACTGAGACAGAATATTTCTCCCCAAGGTTCCTGGGTATCCCTTTATGTTCAATTCCTTTTCCTACCTACCTCTTACCTACTGGTAAGAACTCAACTGATTTCTGTCTGTGTAGTGTTTCAGTTTGTTTTGGGTTTTTGTTTGTTTGACTTTTTTTAGCTTAGAGGTTTAAAAATTATTTTAAATATTTAATTTATTTTTATAGTGGTTTTAGGTTCACAGCAAAAGTGAGAGGAATGTATAGAGATTTCCCCTGTCTCCACTCAAGCACAGCCTCCCCCATTTTCAAAACCTTCCACCAAAGTGGTGTATTTGTTGTAATTGATGAACCTGCACTGACACATCATTATCACCAAAGTCCATAGTCTACCTCAAGAGTCACTCATGGTATTTTACATTGTATGAGTTTAGACAAATTTATATGTCTTGCATCTGTCATTATAGTATCATACAAAGTATTTTCACTGCCCTAAAAAATCCTCTGTCATCACCCCACCCCAAACCCTGGCAACCAATGACGTTTTTACTGCTATCATGGTTTTTCCTTTTCTAGAATGTATTTATTATAGCTGGAATCACACAGCCTGTAGACTTTTTAGTTTGGCTTCTTTCACTTGCAATAAGGTTCTTTTTTTTTTTTTTTTTTGGATTTGCAAATACAGTTTATTTTACAGAAATTCAACATTATAAACAGCAGGCACCTCCCACCCTACCCACCCGCCCCCCTCCCCCTTCCCCGACCCGCTGGGTGCAGACCATGCTATGCAGAGAGTGAGCAGGGACGCGGCCCTACTGCTTTGGAGGGAGACTCAGGAGCGATGGAACCTGCCTACACTATGTCCTGCCTGCCCCGCACACGCACACGCCTGCCCGCTGCACGCGCCACCAGAGTCTGTCTGGGCCCAGCCTGCACCGGACCAGTTAAATGGATCCAGCCCAATTCTCCAGTTCCTTCATGTCATCCTCTTCCTCTTCCTTCTTCTTGGTGGGCTTTGATGGTAAGGTTATAGAGGGAACATTTGGTAGAGGGACTGTTTCAGGTCCACTGATTTCCAGCAAATTCTTGTCTAGTTCCTCCTGTTCTAGTTCTTCTAATTCTGCCATGAGCTCATCCTCATCAAACTCTTCTCCAAATCCTACAGGTTTTGAAATAGCTGTTGAAATCTCCTCTGCAAGTTCTTGCTGGTCAGCAATTTCCTGCATTAACTCATCAACTTTATCGATGTCCATGTTGTCGTGGGCAGCCTTCATGGCCTTAGCAGCATAGCCCATGTTCTTGAGCACCTCGGTGTTGGTATTGGCATTCTCCAGGGCCTCCCGCTGAAACTCGATGGTGGATGGAGTGCCATCGATTTGCGCCAGCTGCTTTTCATACCTCTTCTTGAGCTTCAGTGCCTGGAGGGCCGCGCGCTTGTTTTTGGTGCCGTGTTTTTTGGCGGCGGTCAGCTCCTGCTCGATCTTAGTTTCCAGAAATTCCTGATTCTTACTTAGCATCTCCTCCGTGTCCCGCAAGGTTCTTAAGGTTCTTCCATGTCTTTTCATGACTTGATAGCTCATTTCTTTTTAACACTGAATAATATTGCATTGTCTCTATGTACCAGCTTGTTTATCCAATTACCTACTGAGAGGCATCTTCCAAGTTTTGGCAAGTATGAATAAAGCTTCTATAAATATCCATGTGCACATTTTTGTTTGGATGTAAGTTTTCAGTTCCTTTGGGTAAATAACCAAGGAGTGCAATGTTAGAGCATATGGTATCAGTATGTTTGGCTTTGTAAGAAATTGCTAAACTACCTTTCAAAGTGGCTGCACCATTTGGCATTCTCATCAGCAGTGAATGAGAGTTTCTGTTGCTCCATACTCTCACCAGCATTTGGTATTGTCAGTGTTTTGGATTTTACTCTAACAGGTGTGTAGTGGTATGCCATTGTTGTTTTAATTTGCATTTCCTTAATGACATCTGAGGTGGAACATCTTTTTATATGCTTATTTGCCATCTTTATATCTTTTTTGGTGAGGAGTTGCCCCCAAAGTTTCACTGTTTTCAGAATCTCATAAAAATGGAATCTAGATTCTTCACTTAACATAATGTTTTTGAGATTCAATCATGTTCTTGGACTTATCAATAGTTAAATGTCTTTTTTTACTTCTGAGTAGTATTCCATTGCATAGGTATACCATTGTTTGCCCAGAGGTCTTCATGTACATGTATGTTTTCATTTCTTTTGGAAAGATACTGAGCCATAGAATTGCATGGCCATGTGGTTTGTATACATTTAACTTTTTGGAATTGCTGTATGATTTTGTATCATTCCACCATTAATGTATGAGAGTTTCAGTCAGATTTGATTTTTAGCCATTCTAATATGAGTGTGTATTGGTAGGTGGTTTTAATTTACATTTCACTAATGATTAATGATGTTGAACATGTTTTTAATCTATTGATGTCCTTTGGTGAAATATCTATTAAAATCTTTTGCCTTCTAAAAATTGGATTATTCTCTTATTGTTAAGTTTTGAGAGGTTATTATATTCTTAAGGTATGAGTTCTTTGTTACATCTGTGATTTGCAAAATTTCCTTGTCTTTCCATTCTTGCAATAGTATCTTTCTCAGACAAAGTTTTGAAATTCTGATAAAGTCCAGTTTATAAGTTTATTCCATTGTGGATCATGCTTTTTGTGTTATATCAAAGAAATCTTTGCTAGAAAGACAATTATCATATTGTTTCACTCATATGTGGAACATAAGGAATAGTGTGGAGGATCACAGGGGAAAGGAGGGAAAACTGAATGAGAAGAAATCGGTGTGTGGTGGGGGGGAACACATGAGAAACTCTGGACTCTGTGACCCAAACTGGGGGTTACAGACCAGAGGGGCTTGGGGTTTGAGGTAACCAGGTGATGGGTATTAAGGAGGGCACATGTGGTGATAAAGAGTGGGTGTTATATGCAACTAATGAATCATTGAACACTACATCAAAAACTAATGATATGTTGGCTAATTGAACATAATAAAAAAAAGAAATCTCTGTTTAGTACAAGGTCACAGACTTTTTTCTCTTAGGTATACTTCAATAAATTTTACATTTTACTTCTGGGTCTATGATCCTTTTTTGAGTTTGTTTTTGTGTATGGTATAATGAATGAGTAAATATTCATTTTTGTACATGTACATGTACATGCTGTACATGTACAGCATCATTTATAGAAAAGATTATGACTTTTACATTGAGCTCCTTTGGTACTTTTGTAAAAAATCAAACAAAAGGGCAGACTGTCCATACATTTAGTAAGTGTTCCAGGATATATGACAGCTAGAGTAGGCTTTGATAAGTTCCAATGGGTACTTTAAGAACCATACTGTTTTCCATAGCAGCTGCACTATTCATTTTACATTCCCACTTATAGTGTATAAAGGTTTTAATTTCTTCACACCCTTGCCAGCACTTGCTATTTTTTTGTTATTTCTTTCTTTCTTTATCTTGATAGTGATCATCTTTATGGGTGTGAAGTGATTATCTCATGGTTTTGATTTGCATTTCCATGTTTATTAGTGATATTGAGCATCTTTTCATATGCTTGTTCATTTGTGTATTTTCCTTGGGAAAAGGTTTCAATTTTTAGTCCTAAAAATATGGGCGTTTCTCTTTTTGTTGTTAATTTGTAGGAGCTACTTATATTCTGGGTATTCATCCCCAATCAGATATATAGTTAGAAAATATTTTCTATTCTGTAGGTTGCCGTTTCACTCTGTGGATTGTTTTGTTAGCTGTACAGAGGTTTTTAAATTTGATGTAGTCCTATTTGTTCATTTTTGCTTTTGTTTTCTGTGCTTTTGATGTCATATGCAATAAGTGATTGCAAAATCTAATGTCATGAAGCTTTTCTCCTTTTTAAAAAAAATTTTTTTTCCAGGAGCTATATAGTTTTAAGACTTACATATGAATCTTCAATTTGATATAATTTTTGTTTATGGTGTGAGGGGTCCAAATTCATTCTTTTGCATGTGGATGTCTGGTTTTCCAAGCACCATTTGTTGGAGAGACTGTCCTTTCCCCATTTTTAGCCTTTGAATCATTGCCAAAGACCATTTGATCAGATTTGCAAAGGCTTATTTGGGGGCTCTCTATTCTTTAGTCTACTCATTGGTCAATAGGTCTGTCTTTATGACAGTGCCAGTATGATTTTGATTACTGTGGTTTTGTAGTATGTTCTAAAATCAAGATGTGTGGGTCATTTATTTTTTATTTATTTATTTTTTATTATGTTATGTTAGTCACTCTATAGTACATCATTAGTTTTTGATGTAGTGTTCCAAGGTTCATTGTTTACATCTAACACCCAGTACTCCATGTAATAGGTGCCCTCCATAATACCCACAACCAGGCTCACCCATCCCTTCACCCTCTCCCTTCCAAAACCCTTGGTTTGTTTCTCGGAGTCTGCAGTCTCTCATGGTTCATCTTCCCCTCCTATTTCCCCCAATTCACTTTTCCTTTCCTTCTCCTAATGTCTTCCATGTTATTCCTTATGCTCCACAAGTAAGTGAAACCATATGATAATTGACTTTCTCTGCTTCACTTGTTTCACTCAGCATAATCACCCACAGTGAATATCATTCTCAATGGGAAAAGCTCACATCCTTCCCTTTGAGATCAGGAACATGACAAGGATGTCCACTTTGGCCACTGTTGTTCAACATAGTATTAGAAGTCCTAGCAACAGCAAACAGACAACAAAAAGAAATAAAATGTATTCAAATTGGCAAAGAAAATATAGCATCAGTTTTAATGTCTCTTCTTTTATTTCTGATCTTTAAAATTTGAATTTTTTCTGTTTTTTATCTTAATCTAGCTAGGAATTTGTCAGTTTTGCTGATCTTTTTTAAAAATCAGCTCTTAGTTTAACTGATCTTTTTCTATTGTTTTTCTGTTCTCTTCATTTGTGCTTTAATTTTTATTATTTTATTCTTTCTGCTAACTTTCATTTGTTCTTTTTTTCTAGTTCCTTGAGGTGTAAAATTTAGTTGTTGATTTAAGATATTTCTTCTATTTTAATGTAGGCATTTGCTACCTTAAGCTGCCTTCTTAGTGCTTTTACTGTATGCCATAAGTTTTGGTATATTGTGTTTTCATTTTCATTGTCTTAATACATTTTATTATTTTTTTTGTAGTGTGGCCAGTATGTCACATCTTTAAAAATCAAAGTATAATTAACGTACAGTGTGATGTTAGTTTCATAATGATTCAACAATTCTATACATTTCTCAGTACTCATCAAGATGAGTGTACTCTTGAACCCCCTTATCCATTTCACTCATCCTCTTGCCCACATTCCCTCTGACAACTATCAATTTATTCTCTATATTTAAGATCTATTTCTTCTTTTGTTTCTTTTTTCTTTCTTTCTTTGTGGAATTACTGGATCAAATGGTATTTCTATTTTTAATTATTTGAAGAGCCTCTATAATATTTTCTACAGTGGTCATACCAATTTGCATTCCTACCAAGAGTGAACAAGGGTTCCTTTTTCACCACATCTTAGCCAACACTTGTTATTTCTTGTGTTTTTTATTTTAGTCATTCTGACAGGTGTAAAGTGATATGTCATTGAAGTTTTAATTTGCATTTCCTTAATGATTTGTGATATTGAGCATCTTTTCATGTGTGTGTTGTCCATCTGCATGTTTTCTTTTGGGAAAAAAAAAATCTATTCAGGTTCTCTGCTCATTTTTTAACAAACGATGCTTAGGAAACTAGATAGTTAACATGCTAAACTGGACCACTTTCTTATGCCACAGGTAAAAATAAACCCCAAATGGATTAAAGACCTACTATGAGGTCTGAAATTATGAAACTTCTAGAAGAAAACATAGTAATTTTTTTTTACATTGGCTATAGAAACACTTTTCTAGATACATCTCTTGCTTTTTCTTGGATCCTTGGCTGTTCAGTAGTATTCCTCTATCAGTAATTCTTACCCCATGTGTCTTAGAGTCTGTAGCCCCCTGTGGCTTTCAGGAGTTGAGCTGCTAGTTCCTGTGGTTTTCCCTAGTCTGGAACCAGAGCTGTACCTCTTTTAACCATTTGAATTTCAAGGTAGGGGTAATGGAGACCAATCCCTTATGCACCTCCTAGAAATGTTATAAGTTTTATCCTCTTTATTTCCTCAGGTTTATGGAAGGGATCTAGGCATTGGTCCACTGCTTCTCCCAAAATGTCTGATACCAGGGAGGGTGTAGGGCAAGTGTGAGTAAAAACACCATAAAATTATTTACTGTTTCAAATGCGGTGATTTGTTTATTGACTGGTTGTTTGTTTTATTGCAGTAGATCCTTGACTGATTTCCAAAATTCCTCTGAAGTTATTTTGGTTAGTTCTTAGTTGTTTATTTAATGTTGCTGTGGGAAAAAGGGCAAGGAGCTTTCTAGTTCACCATTTTGCTCTGTTTCATTCTTTTTGTAATAGTAGAATGAAATTCCATTGTACAGATATACCAAATGTTTTATTTATCC